TTTGATTTTCATAATTTTCCACTTCATGTGTGTTTCTGTAGTGGTAGCTGTGATTAGATAAACTCCTCCTTCGGGCTGGTTTAGTCACTGTACCTGAAGTACTTAGCTTGGTGTGTGTGTGTGTGTGTGTGTGTGTGTGTGTGTGTGTGTGTGTGTTTTGGGGGTGGCAGTAGGTACAAGAGATATTAAAGAGAAAAAAAGTGCCAGAACAATATCTCTGTCTTCCTACCGCTGCCACAAAGCAACAGGAAGAGCAGGAAGGTGTTTACTGATGGAATGACATGCATCAGCCCTCCTTTAGTGGCAATGGCTACTCCAACAGTAGTGCTGAAATACGAGGAAAAGCCATCGGATCTTTATCAGTCTCACTAGCGGCCCGATGCACGAAATTCATGCAAGAGTAGGCCTTCACAGCTGCCGCGGCTGCCTTCATCCCTCGCAGGCACAGCGGCTGCCTCAATCCCATGGCTGCTCCCCCACTTCGTCTGGAAGGTCATCTGGAAGGAAGTCTGGACGGCCTTTTGGTTGATTTGCATATTATGCTTTTATTATTAAAGCTTTTTGTAGGTGTTCGTGTGTATAGGGTATAATTTTCACAGCTTTGTTCTTGCACTGCTAATGTTGTCATTAGTACCATTATATTTTTGTTTTGTATCCTTTTTACCTAGCCACCATCTATTTCCCAGAATTGTACAGAAAGTAGGAAGATACAGATGGAGTACACAAATATCTATATAAGTGCTATGATTTCGTGAAATTTGATAAACTTATATAGAGTGATGTGATGGGATAAATTTATCAGTCCCTTGTTCATTTCTAATTTGTTGTCTTTGATACAACCCACAAATATATATTAAGGGCCTAGGATATACTAGGCACTCGTGGAGTTTATATTATAATATTAATACACTAGAGGCCCGATGCACAAAATTCGAGCAAGGGGCTTGGCCCTTGCAGCCCTGGCTTCATCTGGAAGGTCATCTGGAGGGACATCCGGAAGGACGTTCGGCTGTCCGGTCTAATTTATTATTATAGATATAATTTCACATATCAATATATATTACATCATATAAACACACCTATATATGTCCATGTATGTATACACAACACACACAGAGAGTCAATGCTCATGCTTTACAGTAATTATTTTGTACAAAATTGCCACAACACTGAATGAATGAGTGCTGAACCATTGTTCCCAATCAATATATAGCCTTGTCTTATGTGTGTTTCTGTTTGAAGGCCCCTTAGTTCATATATGCTGGTCGATTCTTTAACATTGAACTTGTGGCCAGTAGCCCTGTAACTCATGCCTGAATGGAGCTTCTCTAACACGCATTTTCTCAGTACGGCACATCACGGCCATCTTGCACTTAGGAACACTAGACAGCACTTCAGTGCTACCCTTCGGAGCCACTCTAAACAGTGAAATCACCAACAAAAAGCACAAGATGCAAAAAATCCACTACACGGTTGGCATACAAGGACACTCGAGTATAGGAAAGCGGAAACAGGAAAGCGGTTTCCCCGTGTTCAAGGTTTCCTGGTAATGGGCGTGGCGACGACTCCAGATTTTCCCGGCTGTGCACACATCTGCCAATGACCAGGAAAGTGCCACGAGTATTGATTTTGGATTACAAATACATTTTAGTGAGTAAGTGAAATCACAAATACTTAATCTGCAGATAATGAGGATTGACTGTCACCTCTGTGTATGTGTGTATATTAATTTATTCACTTATTTCTGGTCTTCAATACCTCCACCCTTCACTTTTGTTCATCACTTGTTCTTGTTCTTGTTCTTGTTTACAGTTGTTTTACATCTCTGTGGCTCATTGTACAACTGTTTATAAGTATAATGAAGCTTCTAGGACTGGAATATGTACAGGAAGTTCATCCCATTTATCAAAGATTTCCTGAGACACAATATGTTTTTGTAAACCTCTTATAGAGTGAGAACTTTATATTACGGATGTGGTCCCAATTTTATATATAACAACTTAAAATATCATTTGAAGTTTAGTTCCGTTAGATGTAAAAGTCCAATGAAAGTGATTCATATTGGCTTTATGTTGGAGATAAAAACATTTTTGTTCATATTTATCAGGTCATTTAAAATAATTTGTATTATACAGATAGGTAAAAAATTAAGATGTCTTTTGATTAACAAGATCTTAGGGATATACCACTCAGTCGTTAAAAACATTCCTTTTAACTGGGAAATATATGTATTTGAGGACTATATAGAGTGTGGTATATATTTTCTAAAGAATAATAATAAAATGAAGACTCATGAATCCATCATTCACATTAAGAATTAAGCATTCCTAGTACCTTTAAAAAGCCCCTTCCCAATCGTGACCCACTCCATAGCCACTGCCCTGACTTTTGGATTAATCATCCCTTTGGGGGGTTTTTTAATGGCCTTATTACCTATGTATGTATTCCTAAACAGTGTATTGTTTAGTCTTTAAAATCTGAGTAGTGCAATGGAATACGGTGCAGCTGTAAAAAAGAGGGATCTCTTACCCTTTGAGATAGCATGGAGGGACCTGGAGAGAATCATGCTTAGTGAAATAAGCCAGTCAGAGAAAAAGATCACATGATCTCACTTATTTGTGGACTCTAATGAACAAAATTAATTGGCCAACAAAATAAGACTCAAAGCAGGGAGGCATGGAACAGACCTCTATGTGGGGTTGGAGGGACGAGAAGAGATAAACTAAAGAACTTACATAATTACTAGAGGCCCAGTGCATGAAATTCATGCACAGTTGGGGGGGGAGGGCTTTTGCGGGGATGTCCAACTGCTGTACAGGCTGGAGAAGCTCCTGCCTCCACCACTGCACTCGCCAGCTGTGAGCCCAGCTTCTGGCTGAGTGGCGTTCCCCTGTGGGAGTGCACTATCTCCTGCATTGAGTGTCTGCCCCCTAATGGTCAGTGCACATCATAATGCCTGGTCATTCCACTGTCTGGTCAATTTGCATATTGGCCTTTTATTATATAGGATTATATAGGATAGGCATGGCCCATGGATACAGGCAATAGGGCAGTGAAGGGGGTGGGCGGTGAGAAGGGACTGGGAGGAGGGGAAAGGAGGGAGATGGGAGGTATCGGTAATACTACCAACAATAAAAATATATATAAAAATAGAAAAGAAACCCTGAGTAGCACAGACACTTGGCTGTGTCAGGAGAGGGAATCTTAGCACTATGGCAGAAAGACTTTCAGAAGGGAAGCTGAGCAGCAGCTCCTGCTCACAGTCCAGCTTCAGATGTCCTGACAGCAGAGAGGGAAGTCCCAAGGGAATTACTGGGCTCTTCGCGGGCAAGATGGCACTATGGTGCGGGGCTGGGAACTCAGGGTTGGCAGGGATGTGCTCAGGGTCTGAGCTGCTCTGCATCTTCTGCTCCGGCTCTGGGATGGAGAAGTGCCTCTAGCTCCTGGAACGAGAACAGGGCTGTGGAGTGAGTGGGGGTGCAATGATCAGTCGGCAGAGGGAGTAGGAATGGACGGCCAAGGAAAGTGGGAACAGACAGCAGAGGGAGCAGGAATGTGACCAACAAAAGCAAACCCAAGAGCCTGGCCTGGCTTCCTTGGTCCTTTGAACTTCCAGTTACAAAGGTGATTCGTGGTGGGACATGCTCTAGGGCATGTGACCTTCAGCCTCAGTTCTCCCTGCCTTGTGCTCCGGGGCTTCCCTTCATGTGTCTTCTGTGCCGGGTCACCTGCTTGCCATCCCTTGCCATCATCCCCTTTGCTTGTGTTCTCTCCTGTTTTGGCAAACACATTCTACCATTCCTCCTGCAGAAGCAGTGCATCACACGTGATTTGTGCGTCATAGCAACCGGTTGTTCTGCTGTCCGGTCGATTTGCATATTATCCTTTTATTATATAGGATTGCTATTGCATTTGGTATTCTTCAGTAGTTGATTCAAAAATGTAGAAATCTTATCTTTGGCTTGTCTTTAGTTCAGACACTTATTGGATAACTAGTAATCACAAGGAACTGTGTATGTGCATGTGTGTGTTTTAATGCCTGGGCATTGGTATTTCATCAATCATCCTGTTTTGAAAGCCACCGATTTCAATTGAGGAGAGGACGGGTAAGCAAATGATTGGACCAGTGGCCCCCTGCCGGTGAGAATGACCGCCTCCCTGTGGCAGTTTAGAACGATTCCCAGTGGGAGTTGGAGAAAGAGGAAGGCTTTCTCTGAGGTTTCAGGGGAGACTGGAGACATTGTTGGCCACCAATCATGGCCCGGCTCTATTTTTGTGATGTGGCTGCTGCGGTGTTTTGCCCAGGTTTTATACGAGTGGATTTTCTTTTCTTTTACTTAGGAGTCATTTCTGTATTTTAGTTCTCAGCTGAATATGTGTATTGCAGATCCCTATGGGATTTTAAGCAGAAACATATCAGCTTTTCAGTTTTAAAACATCCCTGCAGGAAGGACTAGGAAAAGTTTGTGAGTATTTCTGGTAGGAAATCGTGGTAGCCGAGATTAAGGTGTGAGACATGGAGAGCTTTTTGGGATAAGCTCAATAGGAATTGTTAGTGAAGTTTAGAACAGCTGTGGCTGCAAGGAAGGGGTCAAGAATGACAAGTTTCTGGTTCAAAATATAAAAGCTATGAATATTGCCAGTAATCGATTTCTTATTTTGCTTAATATGTTGGTAATATAGAGAGAATATTACAATGACTCTTTGCCTTTGCCTTGAATATAAGACTGCTATTTAGAGTTTCTAGAAGTGATTTTAGAATGCAATTTTATTTTCTGTTTTTCTGGTTTAATAACTTCGTTATGAATTCCTTACCTCATGAATTATTGAAACATATATTCAAAATTACATCACTTTAAAAAAAAACCCATGAAATTGCATCACTTTAAAATTTGATTTTGGAGACTATGGCTGTAGTAGATAATGGAATGTCAGTAGGGTTTTGAAGGGAAATACAACTTAAGAAAATCAACAAATTAAACTTGGCCTTTTCTTTCCAGGGGTCCCTTCAGCGTTGTGCGGCGATGCATCAACAGGGAGACTGGGCAGCAATTCGCTGTAAAAATCGTTGATGTGGCCAAGTTCACATCCAGTCCAGGGTTAAGTACAGAAGGTAAGAGATGGATTTCAAGTAAGTTATTTGATGTCTGGCTTTATTTCATCTCCCAAATCCATTTATCAACCTACCCTTCATCTGGGGGTGGGGAAAGGGAGGTACAATGTAGTGAGAAGTGGGTGGAGACTGTGAAAGCTCCATTCTAGTTGGTTAGGATTCTAAAAGCTAGAACTTGAAAGATATAGTTATTTACAGAGTTAGAAAGTCATCTATGATTGCTTATAGGCCTGTGTTTTACTAGGAAAAAGGTGAATTCAGAACATATATTTTAGGGTCTAATTTTGAGTCCGTGGTACTGAACGTGGGATGGGAAGGGAGGGATGAAATAATGACAAAGATAAGATAATTACTGATTCACTTGATCTCACACTTCTAGAGGAAATAATGAACAACATAAACAGACCCAGAGAAAGAGAACCAGCAATCAGACTCTCAAACCTCAGAGGGAAAGTAAGGGAGGATGGGGGTAAGAGGAAGAGATCAACCAAAGGACTTGTGTGCATACATATGGGCCTAACCAGTGGCCATGGACAACGGGGTTTGGGGGGGGGGGCATATCTAGGGAGGGGTTTGGGATGGGAATGGGGGAATAAGGACAATTATGTGAGACCATAATCAATCAATCAATAAATAAATAATAATTTTAAAAAATAATTACTGATTAAGAAGAAACGCAAGTGGATTTTCTTCAAGTCTGTAACTTACTTTAGGAACAGGATCTAAAAGAACTGAAAGACTCCTATCACATTGGGCTTAAGTCATGTATGTGAAAACTTACAAGATCAGTACTGTTAGGACTTGCAGGACTTAAAATTTTGTTTCAAGACGTTGATATGCGATCATATTCATGTGTAAATAATTGTAAACAGTATGAAACATGTAACATGATTTATTTTTATAGTTTTTAAGCCCTAGTTTCCTGGAGCCGCAATTCAAATATGCTCATACTTCATATGGCACAATTATTATATTTTTCTAATTAGCTGTCTTCTAACCGGAGACTTTTCCACAGTCCAGGAGAAGATGTCTTTCTTTAGTCCTTTCCATGTTATTCCCAGGAGAAAACCGAAGGCAGAGCAGCCTATTGCTCGTTTACCCACATGAGCTCCAAATTAATCGGTTCCTGCAGATCTTTTATTAGGATCATTACTTTTAAATACCCTGTTTCCCCGAAAATAAGACAGTGTCTTACATTAATTTTTTTCTCCCAAAGTTGCACTAGGTCTTATTTTCAGGGGATGTCTTATCTTTCCATGCTCTAGGTCTTATTTTCGGGGAAACACGATACTTGCGTAAATCTTTGAAATATTATTCTCTCTATGCTGATTCGAAAAGATTCATGGAGGTTGTTGCTCCTAAAGAATCAGTAACTGATATTTCAGTTCTTTGACATTTTATGGTAAGATTTAGAGGTTTTACATCTCGTGGTTTCATGCTATAGGATTGGTTGTTATTTACATTGTAAATTATCTTATACGTTTAGCAGAATTTAAAATTTACTTCTAACCAGGCTTTACAACTACATTATGTCTCCTAAAACTTTTTAACTGGATTTAAGTTTAATATACTGTATTTGGTTTTCTGTTGTATTATCAACCAATAAAGAAAACCTTCCTGAGCATTGATTGAGGTAATTCTGCATAAGCCCAGTTTATGAAACATATCAATGTGTTGAATCTTTATTTCTTTCTGTTCAATGTTCTGATACTGTTGATGAACTGTTAGTAAGATTCCAATTTCAAGTCAAAAGTCTAAGTCAATTGCTCAATACACCTATAACACGGTGACTGAGTTCATCATTACACCTAATTCTGAATCCATCCAGGCTAAAGACAGGTTAGGAAGATAATTAATTACCTGCTCAGTTGGCTGAGGATGATTATTGGAGGCTGACCATCTTTTCATTGTACCTATCAGAAAGTCAAATGCCAAACATTTTTTAAAGAGGGGTTTGGCATGTAGCCCATGCCTCTTGGTTTAAGTCTTGCCTTTACCTAATATACTAGAGGTCAGGTGCACAAAATTTGTGCAAGGGCGTTGGCCTTGGCCTCGGCCTCCACCCACTGCCATGTAGCCCCCGCTCACCATCACTGCAGTCGGGGCCTCTGCCACCTCTGCCTCGGCCCCGGCCCACTGTGGCTTTATCCAGAAGGACGTCTAGCCTGATTAGCATATTACACTTTTTTATTATAGATGGGAAAATGTAGTTCACTCCTTCATTGCTTTGGCTATGTACATGTCTTCAAGTCCTGTTCTGAAGACAAGGCCATGTCATTCCATTGATCCTCTGTGGTAGGGCCACAGCCTGTAGATGTTAAAAGATATCCAGTTGAATTCTATGTATTATGCATGCGTTTATCTGGTTTTCATCAGAGTTCAATGTTCCTCAAATAAAAGTGTGTGATTCGTTGTTTATGTTTATGGCACATAATCAAAAATTTATCTCCACTCGGACCTTTTTTTTTCCTCACCATGTTTACACTAGCTTACTTTATTCTAATTTGAACACATCTCAATATATATAATAAAGCATTTTTTTCATCACTTACAACTTCTTCAAACACTGTCCCCCTCAACTCCCAACTTCTTTAAAGTCTTTTCCCATCACTGTATAGGCAACAAATTGTTCAGGTCCAAAATGATCTCCTTCATGGCTAAAGAGAGGAGAAGCATATTTTGAAGTGAAATGTAACACAACAAGAAGTTCAAATAAGTTCACCGGAGAACATCTAGAAATGCTGCACCTGTATTTACCATTACATCCTCTTCTAATTAAACCTGTCTCAGGCAACAGATCATTTAACATGTTATTCTTTTCCTTTTTGTCTTGTGGCTTATTTGATATTTGTCATTGTCACAAATTTCTTTTCCTGTTTTCTTAGTGCATTTGTACTCAAATTTACTGTTGAGCAAACTACATTTTATAAAGGGCCACCTGGGCATGAACATGTACTGTGATCTGGCTAGCCCAGTGGTCGGCAAACTGCGGCTCGCGAGCCACATGCAGCTCTTTGGCCCCTTGAGTTTTTAAGCAAAGGCCAGCTGAGGAGTACCCTAAATAAGTTAATAACAGTGTACCTACCTATATAGTTTAAGTTTAAAAAATTTGGCTCAGAAGGAATTTCAATCGTTGTACTGTTGATATTTGGCTCTGCTGACTAAGGAGTTTGCCGACCACTGGGCTAAGCTTTCACAATGCAAACACAAATAAAAGGAGCATCTACTCTTGAGAGACTTACAGTTTAATAGTCTCCAACTAACATTTTTATGAGAAAGCATATGCAGTAATTCTAAGTATAATGTTCACTTTAGCTTTTGAAATGAAATATGTACTTTGGTTAGAGACTACTTATATAGGATTTAATATTTTAAATTCTTACTATGCCACTGAAGATGAGATATTATAATTATTTGAATATCTCTTTTCCCATTAAAATCACAATTTTATTCTTCAATGAGGGTTTTTAATGTACAGGCTGCAGAATATCCAAGAACCCCTTAAATGTATGCAAAATCATGTATGTATGTCCACTTTCCTAGGACAAAAATCCACAGCTTTTATTATGTTCCTACACAGTCATATTATTTCCTAAATAGTTCAGAATATCTTCTTTCACATTGGCATGTTGCTTCTGACTCGAGATTATTTTTGTACCTACATACACAAATCCCCATTAATGAAATTCCTTTATTATGATCTTAAACTTTTAATTAATACATGTTATATCTCTTACTCTGCTGAGACCCTTATGAACTTCAGATATCAAAAGTAATTCAGGCAAAGTACTATAGGAAACATAAGAAAGGAAGATGTATGGAATGGGACACTGAATTGACAGAATTCTGAGATCCTAAAGAGACTCAATTCTTCTTTTTTAATATGATTTTATTGATTACATGGAGAAGATGAGAGAGAGGGAGAGGGAGAGGGAGAGGGAGAGGGAGAGGGAGAGGGAGAGAGAGAGAGAGAGAGAGAGAGAGAGAGAGAGACAGACAGACAGACAGACAGACATCAATGATGAGAAAGAATCACTGATTGGTGTCTGGTGCACACCCCCTTCTAGGGATCAAGCCCACAACGCAGGCATGTGCCCTGACCCGGAATTGAACTGTGACTTCCTGGTTCATAGGTCAACACTCAACCACTGAACCACACTGGCCTGGCAGGACTCAATTCTTTATGGTTTAATTTATTAAAGTTCAAAACTGGTGGGTTTTATTTTAGAATATTAATTAAGCTATCTTCTAGAAGAATATATTATAGATGGGGTTCCAGTTTGTTTAGTCTTCGTGACTATCTCATTCTAAAAGTTCCAAATGGCAGATGATGTCAGCAAAATCCGAGCAATGAGGACCTTCGATAGTTCTCATCTCCATAAAAGCAAGGGTGGAACTGGCAAAAACTGCCATCATCCACTTTTTGAGAACTCTGGAAATTCGCCAAAGGCTTATAGCTTTTCAGGAAGAATTTCTTCAAGGAAAACAGTTTATTCCTGATAAGAATAGTGAGTGACCTTTGTGGCATGTTATCTGGCCCCAGGCCCATTCCCTGCTCTCTAGCTCCACTGTAACCTTGAAAACAGTCCATAATCATGGTTTAAAAAAATATGTACTGGAGCTTGGCTGCCACCAGGGGAGGCAGACAGAGATGGAACTTCTTCACAGCCTCATGCCCAGGAAGTTGTCATCATTTGGCCTGTCTGGAAGATGCCACTTGCAAGGCTTGAGGCAGAGGATAACAGTGGGGCCAGCAGAAAGCCAACCTAAAAGCTTACAAATAAAAGCTGATGAATGAGATGTCTCTTGGGGCCCTGAGAAGCTGCAGCATATTCCTGCGAATCTAGAAGGCCATGCAGCCCAACTGAGGGTGGCTTTGGTTGGTTGGAGTGTGGTCCAGTACACCAAAAGGTGAAGGGTTCGAATCCCTATCAGGGCACATACCTAAGTTGTGGGTTCAATCCCCATTTGAGATGCATATGGGAGGCAACCAATCAATA